CACGTTCAGCCAGCCGTCGACCAACACCCCCAGGTCCTTTTCTGCCGGGCAGCTCTCCAGCCACTCATCCCCAGCCCTGTTGGGCTGCACGGGGTTGTTGTGACTGAAGTGCAGGACCTGGCTCTTTGCCTTGTAGAACCTCACACAATTGGCCCTGGCCCATCGATCCAGTCTGTCCAGATCCCTCCTTACAGCCTTTCTACCCTCAAGCAGATCAACACTCCTGATCAACTTGGTGTTGCCTGCAAACGTACCGGTCTCGATCCCCTCATCCAGATCACTGATGGAGATATTAAACAAGACTGCCCCCAAAACTGAGCCTTGGGGAACACCGCTTGTGACCGGCTGCTAGCTGGATTGAACTCCATTCACCACCACGCTTTGGGCCTGGCCATTCAGCGAAGAGTATACCCATCCAAGCCATGAGCAGTTGATCCAGGAGAATGCTGCGGGAAATGGTATCAAAGGCTTTCCTAAAGTCCAGGCAAACAACATCCACAGCCTTTCCCTCTGAAGTTAACAAAGTTTTAAGAAAGCATTACTTTAGTTAAAGAAATGTAAAAAGTAAGAAGGGAAGAAAAACCACTGTTATAAGCAGACTGCTGCAGGTGTTTTATCTGTCAGGATAACACTGAATCGGGCCTAAATTTGAACGAGGCACTCGATGTACTGCAGGACCAGACTGTATGTATGAAAGCAAGGGAAGGTTTCCAGTCATTCTGAAACCTGCACAGCAGGAACTCAGCAACAAGAAAAAGAATTTTTATTCCTTATGTTTTTTGTAAGGAAACTTATGTGGGTTTGTTACATCAATAAACCTTTTGGGGAAAAAAATGACAGAAAAGCAGTGTTTTAATATAATATCATTTAAAGGTCTTTTTAGTGATGTCAATTGCATTTTTCCATCTCATATTTAAGGCAACCCATTTATATATGTTGCCTGCATTTGAGAGGCAGCCAGATGTTGATACAAATGGAGAATTCTTTGGAAAGAAATAATGCTATAGTTTACCAATTAATTTATATACAGTCAAGGTACCATTATAATTAATTTGTCTTGATTGCACATTGTTAATTGTATCCTTTATGCATTACAGTGAAAAGTTAAATAGTAGCCTACATAAATAACAGAGTAACAAAAGCATCAATATATAATACACTCAGCTACAATTCACAAGCACTTAAAATAAGCTTATTGCAACCAAAAAAAATGTTTTCCCTAGAACTGAACAACTTAAATTCTATTTTCCCCAGAACATGCAACACAGCTGATGGTTCCCTCCCACTTTTTCTGTAAACTTAAGTGTAACCCTGAAAGCAAAACCCACAAGCACCATTACACCTCAATTACTTTAGAACTACAATAAAATGGTAGTTAAATTGTATGAAGAATTTTATACTACTTATTTTTGGGGCACAATTTTTTATTCTGCTCAGAGAATTACAGAGAACATATTGTCTTCTCTGCGTAGGCTTTGCACAGGTTTCTCATACTTAAAAGCTTGCAATGATATTGGTTAATTGCCAAATTTCAGCCACCTTTTTAACCTCTCCCTTTCAGTGGGCGTGAAAGGGTTTACTTGTAATATATATTGCTACTGACTGAATTTTATCTTGTTCTCCTGGATTCTCAGCAGCAATTCCCAAGTTAGAGGCTTCCCCAGAAAGCACGTCAAAGGATTCCCACCCACACACCGAGTATCTAACAGGCTCTGACCCATTTTCTCCTTATTAAAGCAGCACTACATAGTTTAAAAAATAATAATAATAAACAGAGAGGCTTAATGAATGCGAGAACTGCAGTTGGAACTCTACCCTCTTCAGATTTTAGTTCTGACAAAATCACTAGCAAGACGCAAAGAGACATTTAAAATACAAACATCAAATGTATTTTTCCTCTGTGTTCTCATTCAGTGACTTATTACTCCAGCTGTCTTTCGGCTATGTACAAGGAGGACTTCATTTATTAGTTCTGAATATAGAAAAATCCCCTAATTTAGCCATACTTGCTGCCTCTTCCAACTGTATCTTTGGGCATACTTCTGCAACTTGAGCTTTAATAATCTTGTAACTCAGTGATTTATGATACAGGATGTTTAAAAAATGAAGCCTCAACTCATACTCATAGTGAGTAACAGCTGGAACGATATCATTTTACTAAGATTATTAATGTTACCTAACCAGAATAAACAATAGCAATTAACATTTATAGTGGCTTTCCAGTACTTAAAGAGAGCCTACAGGAAAGGTGGAGAGGGGCTCTATCAGGGAGTGCAGTGATAGGACGAGGGCTAACAGTTTCAAACTGAGAGAGAGGAGATTTAGGTTAGATATTAGGAAGAAGTTCTTCACTACAAGGGTGGTGAGACGCTGGCAGAGGTTGCCCAGAGCAGTCGTGGCTGTCCCCTCCCCGGCAGTGTTTCAGGCCAGGCTGGATGGGGCTGGGAGCAACCTGGTCTGGTGGAAGGTGTCCCTGCCCATGGCAGGGGGTTGGAATGAGATGGTCTTTAACATCCCTTCCAACCCAATCTATGGTTTTGCTTCTTACAGAAGGGACAACCCTACATTTCTCTAAGCTTGCAACTGCGTGCTGCCATCGCCGGTTTTAAGATAGCACGACTATTTCCGTGGCTCCCTTGTGAATCAAAGAACTATTTTACCTCACAGTAGACCTGACCAGATAAAGATGTCAACTGGATGAACTCCCTGAGCTTTTGATGCCAACAGATTTGAATTAAACTCATAAAATTATGATAAAATATTTATTTTGAATACAGTGCAGAAAATAGACAATAAAATCCCATAATGCTAGATCACCATCTTTTAATACTGAAAGAAAAAAATCAATTTATGAAACTTAGACATCTTATACCATAAGTAAATCTCTTATACTTACAACTGATTTGTAAGCAAACCCTAGCTTTACCCTTTATTAAATCATATACTTACATGTCCTCCTTCCCCCTTTTAATGTAACAATGCTTTATGCAGCTAACTTCCCAGGGAAAGCAGATGAGTAACATTCTTGAATTTTCAACATAAACTATTACAGTTACCTTCTGAAAGAGGATCCACCTGTTATTTCCAATAGGAAACACAGGAGCTGAGGAAAAACACCAAACCAAGTAAGAATACTGCTCTGTATCTTACATTATTTCCAAATGTCATGCAGTCATCTGTCAGTGATTAAGACTTTTCACTAACAACTTAACATTATATTATTTAAGAATCCACTTCATTCTAAGGATAATTTGCACCTGGAAAGGTGGACAATACCATGTCTGGAGTCCAAGTAACCTAGTTTATATAATTTTATGAAAGAAAACGGGAACTAGGAGACCTCCTTTGTTTACAAAGCCATAGGAAGTTACATCAACTGTAATACTACGTTGATTAAAGCTCATCTTTTCACAAACATAAGCAAGCAGAGAATTAATAATGTCAATCATCGGCAGAACAACATCCAACACTTGTAAAATCTCTTCACCTACCTGGAAAATAAACTTCCTTCACACCCAGGTGTGTATAGGATACTTTATGAATAAAGATATATTGAGTCAGAGGACTGTTCATCGTTGTCTTATGTTGTGTGAATGTTTCTGATATAAGATTAGAAATAAGGTTAGCTTTAATTTGGACTACGCGTATTTTATTTTTCTATGACACAAATAAAGGCTTAGGTTAAAAGAAAATGGACTTTCCTTGCCATTATTCTCCACACTATTCTGTCAAAAAGAGCATTCTCTGGAAAAATAATAGTCGAGAGGAATTCCACAAATTTATATGTATACACTGCATGTCACTTCAGTCCACAAAGAACTGAAAATTTAGAGAAATGTATTTAAGCGGTCTTACAGAGCAGGATAACTAGAAACTGAGCTATGCTTTCTCGTCACATGCCTGCATTTCTCCAGTTGGGCCTCTGACAATGGCACTTAAAGGAACGCACAGTTTAGCCTTTGCTTTTAGAAAAAGGTGAGGAATACCTTCTGCATTGCCTGAATAGTACTGCTGTCTTAGAACTCCTTTTTATGTGGGGAAACATGACTGAACAACCAGGTGATTTTTTTATCCGCCTCTTTCAGTTTTCTTCTAACTGGAAAGATGTGCTTTTCCTTGTGTAAAAGCTCTTTTGAAATAAACACTAACATTTTCAACCTCACAGGAAGTGTCCTCTT